ACAAACAAAAGCATCCTGGATTCCAGCGTATCTGTAAGAACATAAACATTTAAGCGCGTCACAAATAGGGCAAGAAAGGAGGACCCGACCCGAACTCTCAGCGGCCTAAAGGATCTTTAAGGAAGCCGCTATAAACGGCGTGGCAATTAAAGTCAGTCATTCAGTATAGAAAGTAGCCAAAATGTATTTTTATAACCGCCGTTGCTATGTTATGGATTTTTGACGTTTCTACACTTGAAAAATAAATGCAGCAATAAAGATGTCCGTTTTACAGATTGGTATCTTGTACAACAACCTTTAGACGGTAATAAAATGCAATGAAAAAAGCTTTCCGAGCTATGTTGTATTGATCTGTCATTTAAGATCACTATGAAGCTAGACTGAAGTATGTTGATAGTGGGAATCCTAATCATCTTTGGTGAAATATCTATTTTCTTAATATTTCACTGAATAATTAAAAGAGGAAACATCACTTTCAACATACTTGCACAGTAATCTATCCTTATTAGTTGGAAAACAGGTTAACTGATGCAGTAAGATACTACTGTACTCGTTTCCTTTTTGTTTTCAGGTGACCTCCATGATGTGAGCTGTCTTTAAAAGCACTTTGACACCTGAGCTGCTGTGAGGAACCACGGTTTCACCTTTTGATATGACGGGAAACTGCAGCAGATCATGGACGTAGGTAAATTCCCCTCGTTACTCTGACAGCTGTAGGCAACATGGAGAAGGAAGTGACTGAGAAAGAGATGGACGAGGAGAAGGTTTGTGATGCGGATTTTGACCCGGAGGCCAGTTTTTATCCACAGCGGAGCGGAGAGACTGATGGGCTCACGCAGGAGATCACTATGGCCCGCCTCAGATCTCAGGAAACACAAGTTATTGACTGTAGAGCTGGTGAGGCAGAGTCATGTGAATCCACCGAGGCTAAAGAGGACATGGAGGAAGTTTCAGAGGGGTTTGAACATAACTTGGATAATGAGAACCCGCAGGTAATAAATCAAGAAGAGGATGAAGCTGCAAAGGAGCAACAGATGAACGGAGAGTCCGGCTGGAGGGCGCTTGGGGCCGGACGGAGGTGCAGGTTGAGGAGCAGTGGCTCTTTGTTCGAGCAGAGCGGTCAGGGTGCGTTTTCCTCCTTTCAGAAAGGCAGCATCCCGTCCGGCGGTAGTCGGCACAAGCAGACTCGCAGACGCAACCATCACCACCATCAGCAGGGCCGGGGTCGCCGACGGACGGGGAGACAACTTTTCTTGGCCTTTAGAGAGATGCTGTCGGAGTCTTTGAGTGTCTGGTGCATCTCATGCGTTCACATGCTGATTGAGATTATTGTGACTTTAACCCACAACTGCGGAGTCGCCGTGGAAACCGGAGTTTTGAAACTTCACAACTTTGGGAAGCGGATTCTCGTTAAGATCACCGATCTACACGGCATGAGAGCAGATGTTGGTCGGATTTTGAAATGGATGAGATGCACAGGAAGCCACCTTGTGGAAAAAACTGTGAGGACTCTGAAGTGGTCGAAGGCGGCCGTCTCCTCTTGTTTCAGACTTTTTTGTGCTTTAGTTGTTTTAAGCTTCCAGTGGGCAAAGGGGATGCTGCTGCGTGTCGGTGGTGAGAGGGCTAAACGCTGTTGGACAGCTTTTCTAGAATCGCGGCTGTGGAAAAGGCTGGCGTCCACACTGGAGAGAGTCCGAAGCTGGTTCACGAAGTATCGCAGCGCTCCGTCGTCACCCGAGTCACCTGGCAGAGCGGGAAGAGGGGAGCCAAGTCAGGAGCTGGAGCGACTGCTGGCGTTGGCCGAGGTGCCAGAAGGGGAGCTCGACCCCTTCACGGTGCTTGGAGTGGAGGTCCACGCCACTGAGACGGAGCTGAAGAAGGCCTACAGACAGCTGGCTGTCCAGGTCTGTGCCGTCCACTAATGTGGGAGGATTCTCTGCAGAGTGGCAGCCTGCGTTTTAATTCCCTACATTTCTGTGCTTGTAGGTCCATCCAGACAAGAACAAACATCCGAGAGCTGGAGAGGCATTCAAAGTTCTGAGGGCAGCCTGGGATATCGTCAGCAATCCTGAGACACGACGGGAGTATGAGCTGTGAGTGGAACACATCAGATGGCTGAGGAACTATACACAAAAAGATCCTTCCAAAACTTAGCTTTTATTTGCTTAAATGATGTGTTCATTTAAGTTTTTTTTGTTTTGTTTTTTTTTTTTATTCTAAGGAGCCTCCAAATTTAGTTCAAATTAAAAACTGTTTTAAAAAAAACTTGATTTTCATATGCAGATATATATTTTCCTCAAAAAAATAGCCTCCTAATTTTTTTTTCCTTCTTACTCTGAAGCTAAACAGAAATATTTGATTTCAAAACCTCAGAGTTGGATCTAAAAAAAAAACGTTTAAAAAATAAAATTTAAGAAATCAGACAACCAAATGAAAACACAAATCCTAAGAAAAGAGCAAAGTGAGAGTAATTTTAATAAAATCAAAACAAAAAAACCCGTAAAGTTTCATTTCTGGATTAGTTTTTTTTTCTTCTGTTTGTTCTTTTGTTGCAACAATAATGGCACAAATTTCCCTCCATAAAGATGATCAGTTTCCAACCTCATGAGGTCATTTTTCAAAGCTTTCCAACAGACGCTGCACTTGCAGACGTCGATCTGCAGAACTTAAGCACATTTAAATTTTTTATAAGTTGAATTATTCTCTTCCTGCATTGAGGGTAAAACTCTAGCAGTAGAAAAAAGCAAACAGCTTGTAGATCTGCTACCAAAATGATAGAAAATGGTGAATCTTGATTCAGTGTGTGATCTCAGAGTGATCCCCAATCACAAGTCAGTTCTTTCACTCGCAGAAAGCGCATGGCAGCAACCGAGCTTTCCAAGTCCATGAACGAGTTTCTCACCAAGCTGCAGGATGACCTGAAGGAAGCCATGAACACCATGATGTGCACTAAGTGTGAAGGCAAGCACAAGTACGTCGACACGCACCTGACGGCATCATTGCGGCCTGGTTGTATAAACCTCGCCTCCTTAAACACGCAGCGCTGTTTTCCTTTGTGACGACTGTTTCCGCAGGCGCTTCGAGATGGATCGGGATCCTGCTGAAGCCCGCTTCTGTGCTGAATGCAACCGCTGCCACAGCGCTGAGGAGGGCGACCTGTGGGCCGAGTCCAGCATGTTGGGCTTACGCATCACATACTTCGCTTGCATGGAAGGAAAAGTGTTCGATATAACAGGTAACCTACTATTTTTTGGTCTTAACTCTAAACCACAGCCGTTTCTCAATATGTGTACTAGTGCGTTCTCGTGTGCCCATGAAACGTCATCAGCCTCAGCCCTAGTAGTGTTACAATTCACAAGAACAAGAAGACAGAGAACAAGCAAAGTCCATGGATGTTGTTCTTGCCCCTTCCTATTTACCCAGCATGCATCAGAGTAGACTTGTCAGTTCTTGAGATTGACAGCTGTCCCAGCATGCACTGCAGCAGCAGCAGCTTTCAATTGAGTGCTCACAGAGCTCAGAGTATTAAGTTAAAAGTTCACTTTTCTGTCTTTTTTGCTCTATAAAAGTACATTTTAAGATCATTTGATGCAAGAACATTATACTTTTAAAGGAATAGTACACCCAAAACATGATTAGCCTTCATTTTCTACTCACCCCCATGCTGAACAACACTCTGGAGTACTTTTTTGA